CTGCCTTCCCCCTCCTCTCCTCTGTAGTGAGAACTATGAATACGACGTTGTAAAGGTCAAGATCAAACCGCGTTTCATCTAAACTACCTAATTGTACAGTTGGTGTATACGTCCTTTATGGTTTGGCACCTTGAAAAATCAATGTTCAATTTGACTGGACAATATTCCAGCACAACATTAGTTATGAGCTTTATATACATGTAATGAGACATTGCATGAGACAATCGGTCGGCAATAAATACTTAATTTCATACAACTGTTGACAGCAAGACCTTCCTAATCGGTGCGCAATTTAAAACAACATTTAAACGGTATGAATCCCAGCACAAACATAAACCTCCACAATATCAGCGATTTCAATATCACCATCTCCCCTCTATAACAAAAACCATTTCTCCCCGTCCCTGGAAATATTTCTCCCCATCCCCGGAAATATTTGTGACATGGTTGACGGGTTGTACGGAAATTGGGCGTTCCGACTAGCACCTTTCACCCTAACTAGCCCCTCCCCTATATTGACAATATGTCCTGGACCCTCGCACAATCTCCACAGGAAATGTTATGTGCGCGCACGTTGCTAAACGCAAATACAACTTAGGTGAGACTGATGGCGAGCCCAAATAGGCTCGCGTGCAGCAGAGCGTCTGATTCTTTATTTGACTTAACAGTTGTTTGGAGTTATTGGAGTTATTATCGAGATTTCACTGTATACAGTAATTATTACGAAACAGTCAACTCCACCCATCTAGCGGGTGCCGCGCGAAGCGCGGCATCCCGCTAGTTGGATAGATTTGCAAGATTTGTGACGTAGAACGCGTCACACAAACTAGCTTCCGGTGCCCATCATGCGTAGCGCGCGCTAGCTGCTTCGCTCGTAACCCCCCCCCCCCCCGCCAGTCAGTAGCCGTGTCACGCACACAGCCCTGTTTGACCTCAGTTTTTCGTCCCAAGATCAAGCACAAAAAGCGTACACGGGATTTTACGAGATTTATTCGAGACTACAAAAAAAAAAAAACAGTGCCTCGATACATGCACTGTTTGGCCATGATGGCTATATACGTGAAAGGTTAAAATCGTGTGCTTTATTTTGATAACAAAAATAACTGCTTTTGACAAATATAAAGTGTTAAGGCCTGTCAAACAAAATCATATTTTTATCAACAAAATCGAGGGCCGATAGTTTTTAGGCCGAACCAAATTGCAAGGCTTAGTAGATAGAGGAAAGAATACGCTTCATTTTCATGTGAAACTCGTGCGGGAGACTTCTAATGTTTGGTCCAAATCGCGGGTTGAAAGACTTTTGCGAGATTTCATGATAGACGTACATGTACGTTGGCCTGAAAACATTGTGAATAGCACGTGTTATAACACCTCACCCACAGATTCTGTGTCTTGATTGGCCGAGAGCGAGTCACATGTTACTTTCTAATTTTGCTATCTTTCTGTGCACGGCCAAAAGTACTATACCCGTAGCAACCAAAGTACTATACCATTAGCAACCAAAGTACTATTTGCACGGCGCGGTATTTGTGTGCAAATGCATGCTGGTGTGCGCGTTGCGCGTTGCGCGTAGCACGTAAGTGTTCCAAAGAGAGCGCGCCGCAGACTTGGGTTCAAACATTTCGTGAAGGGGTAGTTTGGAAGAGAGAAATACATTTTTCACAAATTTTGTATTGAAATTGAAGTTTATTTCAACTGTGTTCAGATTTAAATGATTTAAAATATTAAAATCAAGCAGAATCTGTGGGTGAAGTGTTATAAAACAAATATTGAATGCTTTATCTCGTGGTGAAGTAAAACCAGCCTCCCTCGGTGATCCATGGACCATTCTATATTCCTTCGGCTTCGCCTCGGGAAAATAAAATGTCCATGGATCACCTCGGGAGGCTAGTTTTACTACACCACTCAAAACATTCAATATTTGTATACTATTCGCGCACAATGAATGACTTATGAATATAAGCACGCCATACTCGAGCGCGAGCTCGACCAATCAGTGGGCGTATGGGTTACAAGGTCACACCGTGTTTTGGTTTCTCGCAAAATATAACAACGACATCACGTTCACGAGATTTTTTGTAGATGAAGGTTCACTTTTTCGTTTGATTACCTCAACATTTGGGAGACTTTCGTCATTCTCGAAAAAACCGGAAATCTCATGAAGTAATTTTAGTCGATTTGTCCGTGAAATAATATCGTCAAAATGCATCGAAATCCTTTTTTGAGAAAAAAAAAATACTTTGATAGATGTATAAAGTAGGTCTTTAACTACCTAAAACAACTTTGTTTGGATCGGTTGTGGTTTGCCATGAAAATTGCGAATTTTCTGAATACTTTTTTACGGCCATCGTTCGCTGGCCTCGCGTTGCCGTCAGTTGTGTGGACGAGAAAATAGAGCAGATACGCGTGACACGGCATTAACTGACTGCCGCCCTGTAAACAGGACGCCGGTCAGGGCTGACGTCATTTGAGCTCTCATTGGATAGATTTGCGTGACCTGTGACGTAGAACGCGTCGCACAAACTAGCTTCCGGCGCCCATCATGCGTAGCGCACGCTAGCTGCATGCGAAGGTCAATCTGTACTTACTGTTATGGCATTAGACAGATCATATGGCAATTATAGTGCCCCGTAGTTTTAGCCCAGCCATTTTTGTGTTCCATGCGTTCTACACGGCCGTTTCAATCCCATAGACATAACGTAATTAACTTGAGCAATTTTGTCCGCACAGCGTTTGTTTACTCCAGTGTATCAAAGTGATGACGTCATGCAATTTTGGAAATTCAAGATGGCGTCCTAAATTTTCACACTGCGCAATAGTCGTAGCCTTGTTGCCATTTTGTGATTGGTCAATTAACGACGTTGAAGTACATGTACGCAAGTACGTACGGTACCATGTACACGTACGGGCGCCGCATGTACATGTTCATCGTACAAGGCCCGATTCTGCACAGGTTTTCTGTGACACATTTCGTTCACATAATGATACAGAAAGGGGGAAAAGAAAAATCATTTCACGAAACCCTACTGTGTATATATCTCGATATTTAAATGAACATTGCAAGCTATCTGCAATGATTCGTTGGACATTAATTTTGTGCATAAACTTTGGGAATGGAAGAATTACTTCTCTCTTTAAAAAAAGAAACTTATATTATTCATCTATATTCATGCTTTCTTTAAAAAAATATTTTATGAATGTAAATTTATTAATTTTATGTACATATAATGCGTATTAAATTGATCCCTGCTTTTCTCTTCAATCATTGTTTTAATTTTTTTTTAAAAATGTAATCATAAATCATTTGGAAAATTGGAAATTTATTTTCTTTACATGATGTTCATTTATGAAAACAGACCATCACTCAAATGATTCTAAACGTATTGTATAATGAGTGCGGACGGCGGATCCCAGATGCGTAAGCAGCACTACTTGCGACCGCGCTTGCAGCTACTTGCACTGGAGATACGAATACACCATCAAATGAACGTCGTTCATTGTCCAATCACAAAATGGCAACAAGGCTACGACTATTGCGCAGTATTTTCACGAAAACAAAACACGAAAAACATGCCCCAAACTTGCCCCTAAATCATGACTCACACAAGGTCTTATGGTGCCATACTATAATTCTGACAGATAACGTGAGTTTCCACACATTGGGAGATTGAGCTGGCCCATAAAGTTCAAAATACCTGTAAAAATCAGGTTTGATTACGCTTCGTGCGTAAGGTTTTCTGTCGCTGTTTGTTTTGGAAGTTGTTAAAAATCCCCGACGAAAATCCCGTTTTATTATTGATACCAAGTTTTCCCCAAATATTCCTTGGTCACTTCTTGTAAGTAAGGACCATCTTAAATGACTCATGAAGTTTCATTCGAAGGCCAGCGGTAGATTTTTTTTTAGAACCGTTAAAATACAGCCACTTTTCACGAACACCGTGCGGTATACACGCACATCACACGGCACAATAGCTGTAGGGCGTGAACGCATGCACACACCACCGGGGCACGCGCGGCGTTAACACGGCGTTGTCGCACTGCCCTACCCGCTGAACTGCAGCGCAGCGAAACCGTGCGCTGAGAGTCACAGGCCGGTGGTTTGTGGGGGAAATATTCAGCAGAACTCCGGCCAGATCATGCATGTTAAGAATACAAATAATTTTGTACGAACACCAATAATATTAAGCAGGATGAGCTTTCTACATCAGACTCCTGTAGGTCAGACGGCCTTATGATTATATGAACAAATGTAATGCTCCAAGTTTGCTTGAAATTGTTTAAACATTTCATAAAAGAAACAATATCCTGCCCCTATTTGAACAGCAATATTCATGAAGTTAAACCACTACGGGTGCAACACTTATCACTTCAAACATTTTTCATTAACCCTAACTCCCTGGGTTGGGGGGGGGGGGGAAGCGTATTAAAATTCCAGGATTCAGGACTGTTCGGGCTATTAGGAAAACTCGAGCAAATGCAGTCCTACATATGTCCACAAGTGCCCCAGATTAGCTTCATCCAAACCTTGAAAACTTCGAAAACCTCCCTGTCCAGTAGTGTTTTGCTTCGGGTCGGGTCCACTACAGGCCAAACCGATGCGAACCATTATAGATATAATCCAAATCCTGCGCTGTGTTAATTTCCAAACTGTTTCCATCTTTTGTCCCCGTTTATTTCGGGTTTTGAATTGACCCGATCCGACCCGATCCGCAAATTTTCAAACACAAAACTGACCAACTCAACTGAAATGACGGACAAACCGACCCGACCAAACACAAAGTTGTTTTTTGGTTGGGTCGGTTACAGTTTCGAGTCAGGTCAGCACAACACTTCTGTCCAGAACCCTTCCAAGAAGCAAAAGTAACCAGCAAGGTTGCTGAAATCTATGGCCACATGACATCACACAGCATATATAGAGATTGCCGCATTCCCCCAGAGATAGTAGAGGCTGCAGCCAATCATTGCATGTGGCACAAGCAAAGGCAGACTCCAATTGAATATTAGATTTAAAAACTGGCAGGGTAATATTTATTTTTTACTTTATTTCATTATTTAAGTTGGCGGCCAATTTAGTGAAATCCTTTGGTCTCCCATTGGTCACAGTACACCTAAAAAAGCAATCCACATACAATGTACACGTAAAAGTCTCATCTGTTTTAAAGTATGGAAAAGAAGGCCAACTTAAAACTTGTTATTAGTAGCCTATTGACTTACTTTAAAAAAAGCGCCGATAAAAATATCTAATGTAATAATAGCATTTTAGTAGTGTCAACAATTAGTTGATTTTCAGTGAAAGTTAATATCCAGTTGTATTTCAATTCATAATTTTGGCACTTGGGAGTGTCGTTCGCAGTAGTCCTGGAGGAATTCCTACCAATGTATACAAATTAGCCTAGGTCACAATTCTGCCCTTATGTACAAAATCACAATGATAATGTAAGCATGGATCCAGCCCATTCAAAGTGGCAACAATGTTGTCATTAATGCAGTTTCAGTAGAGACATGACCATTTTGCCTACTGTTTATGGTACATGTACGAGTCAGTTTTGCGATGGCCATGCACGAGAAATCAGAATGTAAATATCATTTTCCAAAAAACAAAATTGTACTGCACATGTGCAGAGGTGATCCAGTCAATGGCCATAAATGGGCATTAAAATGTAAACATGTCCGATATTATGGGAGCGAGAACTAGTCCATCGCGAGTGATCATGTGTGACGTGTGAATCCTGAGCTTAAATTCCAGAGTGATTCCTTGGCAAGTAGACAATAGAAGTTCTTAATGTGTCGGATCAAGGTGGTGCAGGGTTTGTTCAAATCTAGCAGTGCACATGGCATCACACAGTTTTGCACACATTCAGTTACCAAAAATACACCCAACACATGCTCATGTCTGTGTAATCCTGATCCTCCATGCACAAATATGGGATGAAAGATTCACTTCCACTGTACGCTACGGCTCATCACGAGAAGTCAACGGCTCATCACACCACCATCTCACCAGAGCTCCAGAAGATACGAGAAACCCTCTTGTCAGGAGAATGATACTGCAAACTTCCTGAAAAATCATAACAAAATGCTTTTTTTTCAGAAAACAGGATCACATGTACAATTGCTTTTATTAGGGGGTGGGATGGGGGTGGGGCATGGGAGAAATGTAGCCATACATTCAAAGTTCTACATGTACCGCCAACACTAAAGCAGTGGTGCATGTCACATGTACATGATGTATCATGACACCATTACTTTATCAGGGGGGGGGTGCACACTGCACAATAAGGCCTGTGCAAAGTCTAAAGTGGCTGGAAAATTTGGGAAGGTTGGTGATCTAGAAAAAAAAGATCCATTTGTATGGTACAGGATCACACAGAAACAAAACACCTCAATTTAGAATTGCCAATTTTTTCATGTCCCCATGAAGCTGAGGCACTAATGTGTTTACATGAAAATGGATTTGGCATTTGGCTAAGCATTACTGAATAAATATGCAAAGCCTGAAATAAATTCAACGTGAGACATGCCAGAATAAGTTCTGCGAACACGAAAGGTGGCATGTACAATTAAAAAAGATTTAGTCCGACATGTTAACTACTTTCACCCTGTTCATGTCAGAATCAAATTGTTATGAAATGTTCATTTTTTTTTGGGGGGGGGGGGCATTTTTCTCTCTCTGTTGTCATGACCTGTTCGTATTGTTTTTATTGATTTTATACTGAATCGTGCAAATAGCATTTTTTTTTACCTTCCAATTAAGGCCTAGTTGATCATGTGGATGTAATTTATGTATGGAAATCTTTCCCATGTATAACAAAGTTGTAGCACAATACACGACATGTCATGTCATGTACATGTGCATCACGCCAATTGAGGAACTTCGTCCACACATGCACGAACCTAGGTACGGGTTAGATCCGCACGCGTGCCCGTACAAATACATGAACACGCAAACGGTCGAGTTGTCTCTAAACCATCAAGCGCTTGGGCTATGCGTGATACACACGCGCGTACCATGTACGCTTTACAACCAACTCGACCGTTTGGCATTCCGCGCACACACGAAAATATGTCACTTTTTGCACCTAAATATCAACAAATCTACCGCTGGCCTTACCTTCAAACCGGACACATATGCAGCACGTATCTCCAAAACAAAGTTGATGTGGGCCTTACATCGGGGAAAACCTCTTGTTTGGAGAAAAACACCTTTTAATGTGACAAATTTGTCACATGACCGCACACCGCGATAATCAGTTCGGTCGAACACCAGTTTTGACGGACGCCGTTTTCAGTAATTTAATATTCATGAGCTGATATTCATATATGGAAATAAGGGGAAAATAACAGCCTTGTGAATAAGAAACATTTTGAACTTTGACCGATTAATCTACCAATGACATTCCAAATATTCCCAGATATAAATATTCATGATACGAAACTCGCTTGGCCCGACCCACGAAGAGTGTCGGTGACGTCATTTTACGGAGATTTTCGATTGGCGCGATTAGAACGACAGAGGGCGCCATTATTTTGCGCTGGAACAGCCGTGTCTAGAGCATACAATAAAGCAGCACTGTTCGTTACTGTTACATGCTTGTGTCAGTCCACACGTTAAACATGGTGTCAGAAGTCGGCCTGAAAACCCTGCTCACCCGTGAAAAAGCTCACCAAACGTAAGAAACTGTGTCTGACTTTTGACTATAGCATCGCTAGGATCAACTGTTTTGCCCTGTGACTCATGTAGGCAGTCGCTGGGAACGCTAAAAGTTGACCTTATTCACCGCGTAGTTTTCGCCACGCACGGACAGTCATCTACGGTGGCCTGTACTTGCCACGTACGGCCATACTTCTATATGCATAGGACAATCGTGATTCTGTGTTGTCATTATGGCACAGTCACTGATTCCGGCTCCATCAAAGATGGATGTGAAAGGCGATATAGTCAGCAACTGGCAGTATTTCAGAAATAGTTGGCAGAACTATGAAATAGCTATTGGACTGACAGGAAAACCAGACACCATTCGAGTTGCTACCCTGCTTTCAGTAATGGGTAAAGAATGTTACCAAGTATACGAGAACCTGCCTTTGACTGAGGAAGAGAAACAAAACTCTAAAACAATCCTCGAGAATTTCGGTGAGCATTTTGAGCCTAAAAGAAACATAATCTATGAACGTTATGTGTTCAACTCGGCCACTCAAGACGCAAACGAGAACATTGAACAGTATCTCAACCGTTTACGCAAATTAGCATCAACATGCAAATTTGGTGCTCTCCAAGACGAAATGCTGCAAGATCGGCTTGTGATTGGCATCAGAGACAATCCAACACGCGCAAGACTGCTCAGAGAGTCAAAACTGACACTTACCAAGGCCCTCGATATCTGTAGAAGCAGTGAAGCCACTTCGCTACCATATGAATTTCTTAGCGCAACCTAAGCGACAGGCTTCCGCTGCATTTTGTGCAAAGTGGAAATCCTCCAAAAAACCTCCAAAAACGCACAATTTTTTTCCTTTTTGAGAGCATAACTTTTGAACCCTCGATGCTTTCAAGTTCGTTCTTTCGGCAAATTGAAAGCTCATTATTCCTCTTTTTAATGATATTTTAAGATTATTTTTTAATTACTTTAAAGATCCGTCATTTTTCAAGTACAAACAGTCGGTATCTCCAATTTTACAATGCAAAAACGATGTTCACGAAGAATCCTGTCACACAACGCGGCTCATATGAACTCACAACTCTGGACGCCCTCTACCGATTTCTTTTTTTCGAGCTATAAAATAAACAGCATGAGTTTGTCCAAAGCTGATGTAAAAATGAAGTTGATTGGCCAATGTTAAAGCCCGTCCATTTCAGCCTAAAGTTTTGCGCTAATCAGAAGCGTTGTTTGAAACTGCATTGGAACGTGTACGATCAACAGATGATAATCGACCTACTCCGATTGCTGTGCTGCCAACTTGCTGTTTCTCTCCGGTAAGTTCTCCCCTTTACAATTCCTCAGGGACTCTAAAAACTATATGATACTCAAGCTTACAGTATAAAGATTCTCTGCATCTAAAAAAATATGAAGATACTTTATCAGAAGACATTGTAACTGTGATGTAAAAGTTGGCTTCTTATGCGATGGAAGCAGCTTTCTTGGCACGCCGTGCGTGGCTTGAGCAAGGCACGCTGTGATTTCTGGCCAAATCCACTTTTGTTTAGGTGTGATTAGACAGTGTTTGTACGTGGGTGAACAATGGTGTGCACTAATTGCACACGTTTTATTTACTAAATATTATTAATGTAGATATTTCTGTAATGTTTGGCAGCCTAGTTGAACTTGGCTGGAGGTATCAACTTAAAAAGGAACGCAATTTACTGTTATGTTCATGCAATGGCCTAACGAGCTGAAGACCCCGTATGCATTTTCTATGTTTAGAAAAGGAAAAAATAAATTATAAATGTTTTTTAATTCCTTTCTTTCCTTATTAGAATCCGATGGAATTAAGGACGAAGAAAAATATAGACTACTGTGCCCTTGACAGAGGTGAGCCCATCAAAGCTGTGGCGGAGAAGACGTGGCCAACAGCAAAAACTGTGGTGATTTGAGACAATAGACCGCCCAATCAGAGGAAGTCAGAGCTGCCATATCTTTAGCCACATTTATCTCATTGCCAGAGCTTACTTTTGCCAACAAATTCGAACTATTTTATGTTAAAAATCATGTATATGAATGTACATGTACGTATGTTAGTTGTTCCTGATAGCCATTGCAATTGTATTGTGTACTTTGATGTTTTATGTTGTATGTTATAATTGTCTTATCCATACGCCTTGTTTGACGTGTGTGAAATAAAATAAAACAGGAATACATGCAGATAAATTGTTTTTTTTTAGTCATAAAGGAAGTCACCATATCAGTACTTGTGTCGCCAATTGTTTATGTTCAACAACCACTTCCTCTTATGCAGCCTACTCCCCCACCCCTGCTTTGAAAGTGGGATATTCCATCAGCTCATTGCCCTTCTTCATGGATGAACGAACACCTCACAGACCTTGTATGAGATAAGGGCACACACGTAACTCTAAGGGCAGATGCACAGCATTTGTTGAAGCTTCTTAAGTGTCGAATTTGACTTCGAGGAATTCATATGTCTCCAGTTGATGGAGAAGACAGAGGAAAAAGTGCATCAGGTCAAATCTAAGCCCAAATCACAAAGCCGGCAGCACAAGCAGTCAACATGCGAGTACTGTGGAGAGAGCCACCAACGTGGGAAGTGCCCAGCCTACGGACACGAGTGCCTTAAATGTCACAAGCAAAACCACTTTGCAAAGGTGTGCCAATCAGCAGGACCAGACAAAAGTGGCAAACCCAAAGCATGGCCAAAGAAGAACGCTAAGCAGAAAGTTCATCAAGTTGCCGCTGACGCAGATGATCTCAGCAGTGATGAGAGCATCTACAACATACATACGGTTTCAAAGGGCACCCAGTACTTTGTCAATCTGCAGACCAGACCTCGCTCAGGTGGCACACCAGCAGTCCTGAAGTTCCAGATAGACACTGGTGCTACATGCAGCACACTGAGACTTCAGGATTACCAGAGAGTGACAACAGAGCCGTTGCAGCCATCAACAGCAAAACTGAGGCTGTATGACAAGTCAGTCATTAAGCCCACTGGAGCAACTACACTCCGGTGTAAGACAGACAATGGAACGACAAAACTCATTCACTTTGAGGTTGTGGACAAAGCACCAACATCCTTGCTGTCAGGCAGAGCCAGCGAGGCATTGGAACTGCTGCAATTCAGCCAGGAGCATGTAGTTCACACAGTCAGGAAAGAACCAACCCTGACTAAGGACTACATACTGCAAGAATACAAGGACATATTCACAGGCTTGTGCAAACTTCCAGGACACTATCACATCGAGTTGGATGAGATGGTAAAGCCAGTACAGAACACCAGACGCAGAGTTCCTATCCCAATACGAGAGGAGCTGAAAGCAAAGCTCCAGAGTCTGGAACAAGAGAAAATCATCCGGAAAGTTGAAGAGCCAACTTCCTGGATAAGCAGCATGGTGGTCGTGAAGAAACCCAACAAGCTCCGCATCTGCCTCGACCCCCAGAACCTGAACAAAGGCATCAAGAGGAACCACTACCCAATACCGACTATTGAGAAAGTGGCACCGAGACTTGCAAAGGCCAAAGTCTTCTCGGTCGTTGACGCCAAAGACGGCTTCCTACAAGTCGTTCTAGACGAGGAGTCGAGCTACCTGACCACATTCTGGACACCCCATGGTCGGTATCGTTGGCTTCGAATGCCATTTGGAATCTCCTCAGCGCCTGAAGAGTTCCAGCGGAGATTGGATGTAGCCCTAGAGGGGCTAGACAACGTTGAAGTCATCGCTGATGACATCATCATATACGGCACTGGTGACACAGAGGAAGAAGCAGAAGCGTCACACGACACTGCCTTCATAGCCCTCTTGAACAGATCCAGAGAGCGTGGGCTAAAGCTCAACGCCAAGAAGATCAAGTTCAAGATGCCAAGTGTTGCCTACATGGGCCACGTCATCAGCGCCCAAGGACTGGCACCCGATCCTGACAAAGTCAGAGCGGTGCAAGAGATGCCCAAACCCACAGACGTACAGGGAGTACAGAGGTTGCTTGGAGTAGTAACCTATCTGGCCAAGTTTATGCCCAGACTCAGCGCAGTTTGTGAGCCACTGAGACGGCTTACGGACAAAGATGTCATGTTTGATTGGATGCCCCAGCATGACAAGGCGCTGGACACAATCAAACAACTGACCACACATGCCCCTGTACTGCAGTTCTATGACATCAAGAAAGAGGTCTCCATCGAGTGTGACAGCTCGGACGTGGGGTTGGGAGCCGTCCTCACCCAAGAGGGCAAACCAATAGCATACGCGTCACGCAGCCTCACTTCAAGTGAACGCCACTACGCCCAAATTGAAAAGGAATGTCCAGCCATTGTCTTCGCAGCAGAGCGTTTCGACCAGTACATCCTAGGACGTAGCAACGAGCGGATCCAGACTGACCATAAGCCGCCCATGCCCATCTTCACCAAACCCATCCTCACCAATCCCAAGCGCTTACAGAGGATGCGGCTCAGGTTGCAGAAATACTCACTCAACGTGGAGTATAAGCCTGGACCTGAAATGTACATCAGTGACACCCTCTCACGAGCATCGCTGCCTCAACGAGAAGTCACAAGTGACACGCCACCATATGTCATCTTCCAGGTTGCAGAAGAATGCCATTTCCAGGAGGAGTTGGCAGAAATCAACATGGAGGCTGACGTGTTTGTCTCAGACGAGAGACTCCAGCGTATCCAAGAGGAGACTCTCAGAGACACAACTTTCCAAACGTTGGCAAACATGGTCATTACGGGATGGCCAAGCAACAAGCAGGAGGTACCCCTATGTATCCGCGAGTATTGGCCCTACCGGGATGAGCTAGCCACACAGAATGGTATCATCTTCAGAGGCACCAGAGTTGTGATACCCACCAATATGAGACGTGATCTTATCGTCAGAGCCCATGCATCACACCTAGGGATCCAGAGCAGCATCAACAAAGCCCGTGAGATAATGTTCTGGCCACATATGAGCCAGGAACTGACTGAAGCCATTCAGAAGTGCCCTACTTGTCAGAAGGCCCAACCAGCAAACTGCAAAGAGCCTCTAATGACGCATCCCCTACCCACAGTGCCGTGGCAAGTTGTTGCCACTGACTGTTTCGAGCTAGACGGTCAGTCGTACTGTGTCTTCATAGAAGTTGTGGAACTGGAGGACATGACCACGGAGACTCTGGTGAAGAAAACCAAACCAGTCTTTGCCACACACGGCATACCAGCTACGCTGATCAGTGACAATGGGCCAAACCTTGCCTCTCGTGAGTTCAGGCAGTTTGCTCGCGAATGGGACTTTCGCCACATCACTACAAGCCCTCACCACAGCAGAGCCAATGGCAAAGCTGAATCCGCCGTCAAGATCGCAAAAGGTCTCATCAGAAGATCCAAACGCGATGGTGGAGACATGTGGCAGTCCATTCTCGAGTGGCGTAACACTCCAACACCCAGGATGGACAGCTCTCCGGTCCAACGCCTCATGTCACCCAGAAGCAGAACCCTTATGCCGTGCAACAACACACTGTACAAACCAGAAATCCAGGAAGCTGTGCCAGACCAGATAGCGCGAAAGAGACAACAGGCCAAGAAATTCTACGACCGCACTGCCAAACCACTCCCACAGCTGGTAGTTGGCCAAACTGTAAGGGTCAAAACCCGCCCTCAGGTCGACCATGCTCCTTGGAAACCTGGGGTCATCAAAGACAAGGTTGCCCCTCGAAGCTACATTGTTGAGGTGGATGGGCGACGGTACCGCAGAAACAGAGTTCACCTCAGGGACACACTGGTTACACACGACACCAGAAAGCCATCTGACAGTGAAGCCCTGATCATGGACATAGCTCCCACAACACCTGACCCAATGGCAAAATCATTAGACTCTCACAGTGAGCCACAGGTGGTTACTAGGTCCGGCAGAATCTCCAAGCGTCCTCAATATCTAAAGGACTACGTGACCTAAACGACCACGGTCATAAGGAGAACTGTTACAAAACTCCCACAAATGAACTCAGACATTTGTTGTTACTTATGCTTTTTTTTCAGCATTTTCTGTACTTATTAGCATGTGAAGTGTTTACTCTTAGCTTTAGTGTTTATCCAGCTGTTTGCAAAATATTGTTGTTGCCGTTCAAAAAAGAAAAAAAAGGAGTTGTTATGGAAAAAATGTATGGGCAAGACATTTAACTCCAAACAAAGGGAGATGTTATGGCATTAGACAGATCATATGGCAATTATAGTGCCCCGTAGTTTTAGCCAAGCCATCCCTGTGTTCCATACGTTCTAGAGCATACAATAAAGCAGCACTGTTCGTTACTAGACTGTTACATGCTTGTGTCAGTCCACACGTTAAACACTTCCTTCACAAGATTCTGTGAAGCTCATCAGCCCTACGAGCGAAGCTAGCTGCATGCGAAGGTCAATCTGTACCTCCTTCACATATCACAACATTCTGTGAAGCTCATCAGCCCTAACCAGCGCCCTCTTTGCAGGGCGGGGGGGGGGGGTACAAGCGAATGGCAAAGTAGTCTGGGGACATTATCTCCTGGGGACAGAATCACCGTCCACAGCGGCATCAGGAACAGCGCCACCATCTATATATATATAAGAGCAAGTTTTACTCGGCCTCCGAGACGATGTTTGCTCCTGAAAGGATCCGAGACCGCGCGGGCGGCCCGAAAATTGCTCCACGTCCGTGGAAAAATGCGCAGGGTGTCTTCCGCCGGGTGGGACACTTCTCTCTATAATACATATAAGAGCAAGTTTTACTCCGAGACGATGTTTGCTCCTGAAAGGATCCCAGACCACAGTCTCCCGCGGCGCCAAAATTGCTCCACGTCCGTGGAAAAATGCGGAGGGTGTCTTCCGCCGGGTTGGACACTTCGGGTCGTCATAATTTTCCCATACGGACCGTCGATCCGTTTCATCGATTTTTCGTGACTGCATTTTGCACAGGAATTTGCCGTCGTTTGCGCTTTCACGTTGACTGCCTGGCCGCCCGCCCCCTGTGCTGGCTTTTCTGCGAGTCGAGACTGTGCGAGGTCAGCGGCTTCAACGTAGGGGTTCCATTTACGTGTTCTACTTGGCCGTTCTACAAAAGTATTCACCAAACGGTAGTATGGTGACCTTGGTAAAATATGCTTTGTCCATGGTACGTGGCCACCAAGTGTCCCTATTGTTTCCTATGCTTTGCTTGCCGCCTCGGCGCCGAGTGCACTACTCAGAAGGACTACACATTAGTATGCCTTGCGCGGTCTGACCAATCGAAAGTCTGCACTGCGTAGTACTTCCGGGCTATGCGTAAAAACCGTCGATGGCAACGCGTACTGCAGCCTACTCCACACCCTGCAAACGAGGTTGGGTCTACGGTGCTCGCTATTTGAAGCACAAGCCGGTGACGTGATATAGTGCTCTGTTGCTTCCATCATGTGTTTGTAGCTCCATGCTTCCACCAAGGCTGAGCGTTTTGAGTTCGCTGCCCGCCACGTATAATTCAGTGTCGCGTTATGATTTAGGGGGCCTAGGCCGGCATGTTTGGAATCAACGAAGGTCATGGATCGATGCGTCGCTTCAAATATCACGATCTTAAACGCAGTCACAAAAAAATCGACGAAAAAGTGTCCGACCCGGCGGAAGACACCCTCCACATTTTTCCACGGACGTCGAGCCATTTTGGCGTCGCGGGAGACCGCGGTCTCGGATCCTTTCAGTTTCAGGAGCAACCATTCCTCGGAGGCCGAGTAAAACTTCCTCTTATATAGATGGTTGAACCAACTTGAATAAAAGTTGAATCGACTTTTTCCTCGCAGACGGTCTCGCAAATTGTAAGAAGTTCAACTTTACGTTTGTTTAAGAGTCCAATACTGAAACTTAATTATGACCTTCCTCCATGATTCAGACCGTTTGTAATTTTATGGTAACACTCAACATTTTCATTTTAAATGCCACCTTCACGTTTTATTGCATTATGATTTATTGTCAAAATTGTACAATCAGCCTTCGCCTGTGTTTACGGTAACCTTTTTACTACGTTTTCCAATGCAACTGCCTCACAAAATGCCAATTTAACAGACGGGAACTTTACAGACAGTTGCCATGGTACATAATTATCATGTGCGTAAATCGACGGGGGACGGGGAACCCACCCCACCCCACATTTTAAAGCGGGGACATTGTCTGGTTCCCCCCCCCACTTTTTCTTCCCCAAATAAAAATTGTAGCCTACAATAATGATTCTATTGCTCAGAATACATGTAGCCGATTCAATTACTCGAAACTTAAAGCTTTAAAAGATGATCTTTTGCTCAAATTGGTTTTAGTGGTCAGAATTTGCCTCAGATCACACCACAGAAATTGCTTTTCTATAACTGCATGTCTCCCCAACTATATCCCCCATTTACATTTAACTCCCCACATTTCATCCCCAACACTACGCCCTACCCGATCTATGATCGGGTAAATCAGCTTGTTAATAATAGTTATCCTACCCTCGGGCCTCGACCCGCGTCTATAACTGCCGCGGCATAATAGTCAACTGGCATCACGAGATATTCCGCCTTAACACCATTTAATTTTTGTGTATTATTTCCGGTGTAGCGTGAATATCCGACTCCATGAAATGTGGACTCATTGGTAGTAATGCGCACGCGTGAGTACGACACTACGCTATTTTTAGGATCGTTTCCGGAGAGTGACCTGTCACGTGCGAGGGATCAACCAATAATAGAGAAATAGGGGTCCGATTTTCATAGGAGTCGGATATTCATGTGACACCGGAACATAATTGCTCAAAATCTGAAGTATAGTCCAACTAAGCTATTAAAGCTAGTAGCTACTAACAGTTTGAGAAAAGAGAGAAAACGTAAGCAGCAGCGCACACATTGTTAGGTCTTATAACTGGATATCATAGCTAATGCACGTACAAAAATTGCTCTATATGGTACATACAATAAAGTCTATCTGCGCGCCCAACCGCTGGCCCCCTATAACTTCTATGTATTTCCTCCATAAACCAAACCACATCATTCCAAGCAGAATAAATTTGCAGGGTAGGCCTACATCTTTACTTTGAGCAAGGTTTCGATAATCGGTTTCAGTTTCTTTTCAGGGTAATTGCTAATGACCCTACGTACGTACGGGGTTTTAATAAGATTAAGCCATAAAACAATTCAATTATCGAATGTCGTATACTTCCGGGAACATGGGGAACGTGTGATTGGGTTTGCCTGCATCCCAACTTACAAGCTGGGCCATTCGATCACTTCAGTTGGTATTAACTGTTTTCTTTCCTGATCCTTCATCAACAGATACATTTGACCTGCCCACAGCATTTCTTACCTCCATGCCCACAATGACTCTTTTCTCGATCTATTGTTTCTACATAGAAAACTCAACCTTCCATAACCTAGTCAACAAACGACATATAAAAGCCATTATTAAGGTTACAAGAATAAAACATTACAAAACACAGCTTACCTGCAGGAGCTATCAAGAGAAGCAGAATCAACGACGCGATGATCAGTGTCTTCAAATCCATCTCCTGACACTCGTTAGGATACAGCTATGGCTGCGCATTTATTCACGGGGCGCAGACACTTGCTTGCACCTCACCGCTGGAATCTCTTCAAGCCTACAACTGCCCAACAATTTCAAGAGTTGCCCCGCACCGAGTCCTCGCGTTGATCTCGTGACTATTGGAAGAATGCCAAGGCGTCCCCGCTGACGAAAGGGGATTTTCCCGGCCGAGTTGGGCAAGGGATGTGAGGTAACTGGCCCGCCATCTAATTGGTTCAAAGATGTCACGTGTTTCGCCTGGATCACCCGGCCTAAAAGTACTCCGGAAGCCCTTCGTGCACATTAGGCAAAATGATTGTTTTCCATACCATATTACAAGAATTCAATGTCGATCCGGGTCATACATAGCAAATAAACATGTCTGGCTTTGGAAATCCCCTTGCTTTTACTTCTGTTCGACACGGCACTGCCGGTTTGGGCCATTGTCTACATGTATATGCATCATATTTCAATCATTGAATTTTGTCAACAAAAGATTGGCGCCACATAACATGTAAGCGACAATCTATTGCATAGAGCAAGCAGGTCCCGGCACGCTGGCCTATCAAGTATTATTTCACAATGTAGGAAGTATGCCTTGAAAGAGATATATTATGGCCTGAAATTCCCGAAACTTGTATGTTTTGGACTCTGTTTACATATCCTATTTCAAAGGTCTGGTTAAAAGGAAACTAACCTAATGTCGCACTGTTCCTGAGAAAAGACGAAATATCCCGGTTGTTTACTTCTGACGCGGCGGAGGATTTGTGCCATATGCATATCAATCTCGTCCCCAGAGCTTACTTTATTTCCAACTAGGTTTCCAGTAGTAAGCCCTGGATAGGAAACTTTGTTCCTGTATCCTGATTGGATACCGCAATTGGCTAGAAATGGATTTTTATCGTGTACTTGGTGTTGTTATTCAAAACGTGCAGTACGTATTTTCGCGATCATTCGTCCACGCCTTCTCGACAATACTCATTTCCCTTCCAATTTGTTCATATTAATATGAAATGTGTTACTGCATGTTGTCTCGATAAGATCGTAACAGTTTAATTAAAATAAATCGTGTTTTCGTAACTCACGCCATGCTCGCGCTGCGACGAATTGACTCTGTTTTTACCCCAGACACCGCATACAAAAACAAGCACTAATGTAACGCACATGCAGGCACCAGACTGTTCCTCATTTGCATACGTGTTCAAAAATCCTGCACATGCAAAATAATGATCCAATACCAGGGTGAGAGAGCAGGTAGTGATGGGCGCGTACTGCTCAATACCCTGGGGACAAGGTTGTTTGCATACGTATTTCCAGCCGTGTCCATTCAATGTACGGTAGACGTTGTGTGTGTACGTGACACATAATACACACATCACCAATACACTTTTTTTCGGGGATTTCAGGACGAAGTGCCCCTTTTCAGAGTGGACGTTTACGGCTCTTTCCAATCACTGACCATTTGTAAATGATCCGTGTTCCAATAGTAACATCTTTTCGTTTAAAACGCGTTTTGTAGCCCAAATGGGCGCCCTCCAGGACGCAATGTCCCTTATATACAAGGCTGAAGCATGATGAAACTTACTGTTGTTGTTGTGGTCTCTCGTGTGGTCTCCTTAAGTCACAAACTACACAGCCATTTGTCCCCATTATTTTATAAACAAGACAAGACAAGCTTAGTAAAGCTGGTCCCAGAGCGTGCAAAATGATGTTCAAACATGGAGGAACCTATTCCTCTATGATTCAAATGATTCAAAGTGGCTATTCACTGGAAGCCTTTTCATGCATCTGGTCTATCTACACAGTGGGCCGGATTAGCCCATTCATTGGCGTAACGGGGTTATCGCTATACGATAACATTACCCGATGTAACGGTCTCAGTTATCCGGTGGCCTGATCTCTCCGGAATTTCGATTAATAAAAAACTGAACATGTACATGTACATGCACTTGCATGTACATGTACTTGAACACCATGTACATGTGTGTCTAGTTCAGTGATGGCGTGAAGTTGTCGGTCTTCCTCTTTTGCACTGGTGACCTTCAGTTTTCTTGTGTTTTGCCAGCTGATATGCTGTTGGGGAATGACAGGTTGCAGTTTTGGAAGCAACGAAGATGACCGTGGTTTTGTCGTTTTCTGGATGAGGTGGATGACATGTGACATACGAGGTTGTGCCTGTCACGTGAGGTAGCTGAGAAACAAATTCGCTCGTAACCCCCCCCCCCCCCCCCCGCCCTGTTTGCAGGGCGGGGGGTACGAGCGAAAGGAAACATCAGGTTTAGGCAGACATCACATCACAGGCTGCGGTCCTTGTAGTCTTGGAGTCAAGTGGTTGAATAGTCCAGTTTTTATAGCGATTGGATACACGTAGGCCTACATGACGTACATGTTTCATTTCTCGTCTGAAAATGAAAATTGTCGGTTTGTGTATTATGAATATGCATGGGCGTCGCCAGGATTTTTTTCTAGAGCGGGGCAAAATTTGTTTTGCAAAAAAATGCTTGTATTTGTCTTTACTTCCATTTTGCTCCTTGAACCATGTGTACATTATTATGCAGTCACTGTGTTTACTAATGATGATACAAATGTAGAAACATATACTGACAGATAGGTCGAGCCTCTAAAAAGATACCGATCTGACACTGTCATAACTTTGTCTATTGTAGATGTATGAAACGTATCTGAGATGATTCGTTTAGGTTCGATCTTGAAACACAAAACAAATTCATATTAATTTCTTCCTTTTAATGAAAAACCACAACCGAGCTATGCTAAGTTGAACAACTTTTCCAGTTCATATAGTTTGTGCTGCACGTTTTGTTTGAACACTTGGTAATATCTCTCTACTTGGGTTTTCTAGACGGTATTTGTGTCTTGTATACAGAATGGTGCCTCCCGGTTGAATTCACACACACACCTGACCTTTTCTGGTGCACGTGCCGAAAAAAGACGCGGCGCGTCATTTTTCGGCACTCGCGATTTCCACGCAAAACGCCGTGATTGCGCACAATCTCTGAAGAACGTTACGTCACAGACGTGGGTCGTAGGTCTCTCTGTCTTCGCCAGCAGAGTCTTTGCCAATATCTACGATCTGCCCCCCCCCCCCCCCCCCCCCCGTCTGTAAGAATTGAAGGACGTACAATACACCAGTTTTGTGTAGACGAGTTCATAACGAAATGTTCGGCATTTCATAATTTGGACCAAATAAATTATTGAACGTGTACATGCTAACACGTTGAATTTTAAAACCCATTACCCATAAACTTAAAGTAAAATATTTTATTAGACTTTAAATAATTTGAAATAACTTAAGAATAATTGAAGATGTTTAAACCATTTGAAAATAGTCACTGAATCCGAATTAAATTACAACACAAAATATATGATATAACAAAATATTATCAAGAAATTTCGATATTCATTCGTTTATACATTAACCTGAACATTAATTATTTCAACCATAAGAAATACATTTCAACATTCACGATTCGAAGCCCTTATTTTCAAAACAAAATACATAAATATCATATTTGTTATACCATTAGTATGGCTCCCTTGCATGGATTGCACTTCCTCCAACGAAGGAACGTCGGGGTGCTTTGTGACTGCATTTTCCAACCTCATACAAAAGCTGATGCTCTATTTCGGATACTTCTAAGTACATTTGTCCATCTTTACGGTTTTACTGAATCAACTTTTTTTTATATGATGGAATTTTTATTAATATAGATCGTTGGTTATTAATATACACACGTTTTAAATGTATCTTTTCTTTATTTATTTTGTCCATTTTATGCAGAAATAATTAGCAATCCAGCAAAGAAATTGCAATATTAAGACTCCAAAATATAACATTCGTTCAAGGAAGGAAATACTGAAGTAGGAGACGGACATAACTTTTTATGTGACTTTTTTTTTATCCATTTCCAGTAAGTAATTATCCGCGTTATTTCGTAATTTGCAAAATAACCACAAATTTGTGGCATTTTCACCATAATTCACCGTATAGGAAGCGTTTGTTCTGAAGTTAGTTGCATTAAAAGATCTGTCATATTTATCAGTCTTGTACCCATGGCTTTCGTCTTAATAGAAATACCATTTTAATTTCGAGGCCATAATAGTAAATGTTTACCAAAAACAAAAACACAAAAATGGTAAAAAGAGTGACTTTTTTATACATTTCTTTAAAAAAAGATTCGTCATGTTGTATCCCCTATAACACTGCATGAATCTGGATAGAGGTATCTCTTTTTTTCCAGTCTAATGCTCTTTAAAACAAAAATGGTTCAGATGTATAGTTTAGTATCCATATGGAAGGTTATTATTTCGTTGACGATATATTGATTTTGGCTACAATGACTCAGCCTTCGGTTCAGTTTTACTGGCAGCAAAAAATATCCAATTTCTGTCCACGTCAACCTGTTGCGAAAGCTTAAAAAATGCCGGTTTTCCCCCGGATGTGTTCCGCAATCCATATCTTTCTAGAATTTTCTCAGCCACGGAATTTCTCACATCTGGAAATTCCCAGGCAGTTAGCATTCCTACAAAACAAAGGTCCTTTTTGTGCCATCGTTGCGCAAACATTTTTTCCCCAGTTTATTTATGGCGTGGTTTTTGTCTACTATTGCTTGTATCACGTTGGTATCACGCGCTGAGCTCATGCCTTTCGTCCAATCAGCGAACGCCAAGTATATGGCGCCACTGCGCACTTGAACTCCGGAGTGATAAATCATGCATTTGGCGCCAAACAAAATAATGGTTCTCGCAACCACATATCAAAAAAATTATCATCTTTATTCCAAAAAAGAGCAAAAGAATTAGTTAGATACCTAGAATTTGGGGTATAATAAAAAATCTATGCTAACACACTTTGCCTTTGAAGAAATGAATAATCTGAATCCGACATTGATACAGCATTAAAGACACAGATTTGTCTCATGCAAAAACGGAAACAATTTCAATTTCTTAAAAACACTTTTCACGTAAACTCACAATACTTGACTGCATTGAAGTTGCTGTTTTTGACATTTACTGTTTAAATGCCAAAACTGACGCAAATCAAAAAAAAATTGAAAAAGATT